AGGATATTACAGATATAACTCTTATTCGACCCAGAATTGCCGAGAATAATGATGTCATTTTTAACAGTTTCACTTTGAAGAGAGCATACAGCTGTAATTTCACGACATGGATTTGTATATAATCTGAAATTAGACAACAACAATGAATTCATTATCCCATCTCAAATTGGGAAATGCTACCATGCACGTTTTATTTCTTCCTTACTTCCGACACTTATGATTGTGCTTAGTGTATATTTCGAGAAAGTGAACAGTATATCATACAGAAGGAGGACAAATATTGATCGTGTATTCTTTTGGTCGACGTTTCCTTATTTTTCGTCTGTCAGTATGTTTGGTTGGTATTTTTCAGCAGACGATAAGCAGAATGGAGAAAAGAGAGGCTATTATCGTTTACATCTTACATATTCGAGCTTCAATATTGGGAAATATAATCAATGTTGGTTGACAATAAAGCGATTAAATCTAATCTTTCGAAAACTATCATATTCTAGATTGCTTTGTGTCATTCTATTGTGACAAAACATGTACTGTAGAAGACATAAGGTCTTCGAAATAATCTGTATAACTCACCCCGCAGTTCTCATATCTGCCATGAGTTCTCTTTAATTGAAATAAAAAGAAAAAAAAAGATGAATGATTTGCTTATCAATTTGACTCTCATATCTCTTCTTATTCATCGTCGAACTGGTTTTGATTCTTACAGTGATATTTATGAAGAAAAGAATATGAATTCACTAAAAACGGGCCCCATTACTACTGAGATGCTTCTCTATATTAGAATTTCATGAAGGATATACTACTCGTTTTGTGGAATGACAAACTGCGAGTTGTATGGAAGAGAAATTAGCCGAAGTTAACTATCACTATCATTATACTCATGTCAATCGCAATCTTCGAAAGATGTGATTCATTGATTTTCTTGAACGAAAATATCACTGGCGCATTTTTCAGTTATATGTAACAACATTCATTTTTTTTAGTCGATCCTTTTCTTCTGCTTGCATCATCATCAATTTTATTTACATGTAGCATTATTACAAATGCTTATATTGAAATCTGCCTCATTTGTTGTCAATCTGTTCTATGTGAGGATGTACTAGTTTCGGTTATTTTCAATTCAATTCCAGAATCTGAATTTTGACTTCAATTGACCTGTAGAATTGAACTCTAAGATTGGTTGAATTTGAAATGGAATCGAACTTGGCTCGAAAACCGACTTGATATTAAATAATCGGAAATTTGGGTTATTGAATATGAGATCTCTTTCAAGTCTGTTTTCGAGTCTTTCGAGTCAAGTTCAATTTCATTTCAGATCCAACCAATACTCAAGTTGAATCTTGCAAGCCAATTCAAGTTCATAATTGAAAATAACTCGAACCGAACTTATCTTATTTCTAATTCTATAAATCATGTTAATGTGACGAAAAGAGAGTGAACAATGCTACAGTTAGTTACGCCAATCATGTGGATTGTCTTACTTAGAGATGCAACGGTGACGATAACCGTAGGTACGGTTACCGGTCCAAGGGTGTGGGTGTGGATATCTTCTCATCACACACACCCATACCCTAATTGGAATTAGTTATACTAAATGTGTTCGTTCTTTTCTTTTCGCATCGATTAACGCTGAGTATTAACTTTTTAAAGCGTCAATTGCACTACCGTGTCAAAAAACGAGACAATGGTAAAGGTCTATGAGTTTTGGCGATAAAAAAAAATACTAAGTCATCATTTTTGTTTGTTAGGTGAAGAATGACAACATTGCGGTATTGCGGTATTAATTCTCATTCTAGTTAGTTTAATTGACAACAATAACTTGATGCTTTTACTAAGATCGATGTTTTCGCAGAAAGCTCTTCAAGTAGTTTGCATTAAAACAAGAACAATTATGCTGCAATCTTTACAGCCTATTGCATCATTCGGGGACAATATATAGCTGTGTATTATTGAGTAATTTGCAGAGGTGACTGCAATTATAAACATAGATTGCATAAGACGAATTCTTTTGCTCTTTTTTCTTTCAGTTCTGCCTATGTGCATTGCACCATATTTGGTTTTTGCACATGTAATTACCAAGCAGGATTGAGTAAGTCATATAATGGTGTATATATTTCTGACGACAGAGTTGGTCAAACATTTAAGAATGTCAATATTAAAAGACTTATCTGTAAGTATACAAATAAATACGAATAGATTCAACACTCACCTATATTTTTCTGTTCGATTCCTGAGTTTTCTTCAACATACTTGAGAAAAACAAATGAAATTACAGAAATAAGATTTTATCTCGCTCGAATCAGAAAATAATGTTGTTTTGTGAATGCATAATGCACATTCTGAGGAGGTCAATAATGAGAAATCGATGTATATCTCAAAGTAGGCCTAGATGAGACTACTAAGCATCCAAGAACGTTTACAGAAATGCCCAGCTCAGTTTGAGATATCCAAATTTTCATGTTTCGGAAAATGTTCACGTTTCGCATTAAATATTTGTTCGCCACAAGATCACAGCGTTTTCTAGAACTTCAAATTTCGATATCTTGACTAAACTTGTTGTTCGAATGAATGCTCGTAGGTTTTTGCTAGTTGCAATTGAATTCACTTATCGACATAGTACGACCTCAATCAACGATTAACAGGTGAATAGATAATCTTGTGAGCCAAAATATACAGTGAAATATCTCGAGTTTTATTCTTTCATCACATTCTTTGAAAAAGCTACTAGAATTTTTCTCAACTTGAGAAAAAGTTAGAATTATTTATCGACTTTCACGAAAATGAGAGACAACACATTCGTGATTTTATCTAAATTCTCTTGTTGGCGCAGACTAACTAGCACGTATCTCAAATGTCATTCCTACCATCGTTGTCGACTTCAATAAGTGAAGCTTCGAGACAAGAACAAGAAGAAAATGATCATTATTCGTTAGCATCATCAGACAAAACTACAACATGCATGGATCCATTGTCTTCAGTCGCTGCTAGCAACCAACAGCAACTACAAACACAATTCGAAGGTCGTATAACACCACCTATCAGCAATGTGTCTCATTTGCAACCTAACCTACAGTAAGTCTTTACATATTTTTTTTTCTCTCTGAACATATTTATCAATGCGATGTAACTGTTTTCTCATATTCATGTGTTTAAAAGTTGCTGACAGAATAATTCGGCACAACATTCGAATCCAAATATAGATGTGCATATTCTTTTTGTCGCGTAATTTATTCATTTTTCAGTAAGAAAACCAATTCTAAACCAATCTTGTTATCATTGATGATAAATCCAATAAGGATCTTTTCGGTTTTGAATCTGAAAAATAAAACGATAAATCTACCACGAACCAGAGAAAATATTATTTGTCAAAAATCGGTTTGAAATATTCGATATCGCTTGTATAGAATAAAACTCTCAGGAAGTTAAAAGAAGATGTCGATGAATGAAAAAATGAGGCACAATAGTCGAGTTAGTTAATTTCGTAAATCTGCTTTTTGATTGGACAACGGTTTAACCATTGAACAGCAAACTAACTATTGGCAAGTATTTTTGTATTCCGTATTAGTACAATCACGGCTTCGATCTCTATAGCTTCGTTGCATTACTTGATACATTCGAAAGCAACAAAATCTCTTCTAACCTCATGTTCAGTGATAGTAGTGTCTCTTCTTGCTGGAAAAGTGAACAATTAATGCAATGAAAATAAGATTTAAATTGATAATTAGATTCGAGTATTGGAACGATTTATTTGAGTAGTAAACAATTTTTAATTGAATACTTTACTGAGAACTGTATACGTCGTAAGTCTTCATTTGGTTAAACAGTGTGAAGTTACCTTTTCATGTATGCGGTTCTTCCAACCATTATAGAGACTTCCTTTTTATTCGGTTTCAGACAAAATCAATTTCTATTGCAAGACATTATCATATTAATCACAAATTCTACAATCTCTTTTTAAGACTTGATACAAAACAGAATGAGAAAAGAACATTTGTGCATTCTATATTTTCTTTCCTCTATATTAATCAAAAGATCTCGTTTCAACTTTCGACAGAATACAAATTTAGTTGTCCTGTTAATTATTTCAATATGTTCCTAAAACCACTTGCGAGTAAACAAATATTGAAAATATTTATTTGAACTTCTAAAGGAAGATTTCTTCATATTTCATTTTGATAATAATTTCAAGTGATCAGCTTTGATTACAAATTGAAATCCGATGAGACTCACTATCTATAACACAAAATCATTTTCTCATCCACTTCAACAACGAATGATTCGAAAATCATGTTTATTTGATAGTTATCTAGCCTCAAAATGTTGAGCTTCTGGTCATGAGTAACTATTTTCAAATTGATCGTTGATTTCAATCAAAACCAATATAATTGGTTTCTTCTTGATTAGTTCATCAAAGTATTTTCAAAGTTCGTCGTCTGTCAACTACATGTGCAATCTGTTTACAACTCATTAGACTTGAGAAAACTCAGTTTTAAGACTCGAATGAAAAACAGATTCGTCAAAAGAAGTTTGCCGATAAGAATCTTATCTTGAATAAGATTTATTACCATATGAAGATAACATTTTATGATTGGTATAGTCAGTTCGATTTCGACTCGAAACAAATGAAAATGATTTTGATAGACAGCAGCGGATCTTGAGAATGAAAAATTCATTTTTTTTTCTCTGAAACGGTATAATGAGATACGCATTGATCAATATTGATTGATCGACAAATTAAATTGAGCCGCTAATCAATTTGAATAAACTAAACAAAACCGAAATACTTGCTTGAATCGTTTATGAATTATTTTCAAGCAATGTTATATCAACGGTGAATCTGTGTTGTCAATTGGACTTGAAACGAATTTCTATGCAAGTTCGCAATGCCGAATATAATCCAAAACGATTTGCTGCTGTTATTATGCGCATTCGAAAGCCACGTACCACCGCCTTAATCTTTGGTTCGGGTAAAATGGTGTGCACAGGTGCTCGAAGGTATTTAGAAACATTTTCTATTTCTTATTTATATGGTCAATTTCGGACATTTTTAGTGAAGAAGATTCATTAGAAGGAGCCCGACGTTATGCTCGAGTGATGCAAAAACTTGCCTTTCCAGTATGATAAAGTACTTAAAGTTCAATTTTGTATATTTAAATATCTTCAAGGTCAAATTTCGCGATTTCAAAATTCAAAATATGGTCGGCAGTGTTGATGTTAAATTTCCTATTCGATTTCAGAATATCGAACGGATTGCACTCGAACATCATCAATTCTGCAGGTAAAAAATGAATTCAATTCACATTGATTCATGATGAGTATTCTTTTGATTTAGTTACGAACCGGAAGTATTTCCCGGTCTAATTTATCGAATGATTCAACCAAAAGTTGTTTTACTTATTTTCGTATCGGGAAAAGTGGTGCTAGTTGGTAATTGAATTTAAAACTCTTCTATCAATTTAAAACTTTCGGTCGACATTTTTAGGTGCAAAAACTCGTCGAGAAATGCATGAAGCATTTGAAAGGATGTATCCAATTCTGAAACAATGTCGAAAATGAAATATCCATTAAATAATTCTCACTATTGTATAGAGATTATGCGCTTGATTTCCTTTTCTATTACTATTAGTCATATTTACCTTGGATGCAAAATAAATTTGTTAAAAGAAAGAAAAGAAACAAATTTAAT